GTATTACAGATGTTGCCCCTTTTCCCCCTATTGCCCCCCTCCTCCCAGGTCCTGCCCCACCCCAGGCCTTCACCACACTATTGTCTGTGACCACGGGGAATGCAGATATGCATATAAGTTCTTTGGTTAAGCTCTTCCCACCTCTTCCCTCTGAAATTCCTCAGTCTATTCCATGCTTCCATGTCTCTGGATCTATTTTGTTTGTCAGTTTATTTGTTCATTAGATTCCACATATAAGTGAGATCATGTGATACTTGTCTTTCTCTGCCTAGCTTATTTAGCTTAGCATAATATCCTCCAGGTCCCTCCGTGCTGTCTTAAAGGGTAATAGATCCTTCTTTCTTTTACAGCTGTGTGGTATTCCATTGTATAAAGGTACCACGGTTTTTTTATCCATTCATCTATTGTTGGGCCCTTGAAGACAGAACTGGAATTTAGATTCCTGTTTGCCTGACTCCAATGTCTATTCTTGCCCTTTATACCACGCACTATGCTAAAACCAGATTCTAAACTGACTTGAAGTCATTTGTGGATTTGTATTCTATTCCTGGTTATTTCCTTAATGTTATGTTATTACTAGGGGTCCCTCAGCCTGGCATGCGGGGATCAGGCCAAAACCAGCTCCCCGACATCCCCTGAGGGACCCCAGGTTGTGAGGGTACAGGCCAGGCCGAGGGACCCCACTGGTGCACCATTAGGCCGTGGAGGGACCATGGGAGGGCTCCAGGGCATGTCCAGCCTGTCTCACCCAGTCCCCATCCGCCAGGACCCCAGCAGCAAGTTAGCCTACCGGTCAAAGCATCTTCCCCCTGGTGGTCAGTGTGCATCATAGCGACTGGTCGAATGGATGGTCGGACACTTAGCATATTAGGCTTTTATTATATAAGATGTGTAAAGTAGAATATTAGTTCATCCTTCTTTAATCATCCTTAAGAAGGTTTAACAATAATTGGCCTTTATTTCTCATGGGATATTAAAATAATTTCATTAGTTATTTTAGAGGACAAATTACTAAATAAAAGGAATAATCAAATTTTAGAACTAGAAGGGGCATTTGAGCTCAACTGGGAGGATTTGTTCATTCCACAGAGGAGGAAACCCAGACTTAAAAAGGAAACTCTTACTCATATTCTGACAATGAGTTATCTGGCTACCCTGCTAATAAGGCTTAAGTTGAAGCAAAGAATATTTAGGCTGAGAGCAATGAGTCATGCATTCTCGTGGCTCTTTGAGACAGCTACCCATCTTTCGGGCATTCTTACCTCTCTACCTGAAATGGGAGGAAAGAAGCATCATGGCTTCCATCTGGGGCGCAGACATCAATGTCAAGATTTTCCAATTTCATTCTTGCTAATCTTCCTTAATCTTGCCCATGGCTAATCAAAGTAGTTTCTAATATTTACCATGGACTTAACTGTGTCATGTTTGTGATATACCAAATGTATCTAGTGCATAGTAAATCTATTATTTTCATTAATTTTCTGTTTTACTTTCATGTTACCCTTGGCCAGCAGAGGCTAGGCAATGAACACTCAAAATTACAGAAGAGACATGCACAATCAGAAGGTTGGACGTGTAATAGATATCTGTTGAAAGGGCACAAGACAAAAAGCCTATCCTGATGATACCCCAAACCAGGTATGTGTTTCGCTTTCCAACATTTACACCTCTATTTTTGTTAAAAAATAAAATCAGAAATCTTGTTCATTCCTTCAACAGATGTCCATTCAGCTTTTAGCTTTGAAAAACAGCTAAAAGTGGAAAGACCACAGTGGAAAAGGATATGATTTCTTTGGTCAGTTGTGGATGAGTAAAGAAAACGTGGTCCCCAACTCTGCCTCTCCGTAAAGGAAATGCTGCACACAGTGCACAGGGGCGGAATTGAGCTTCTCATTGTGCCCTTATTAGACAGTGAACAGGTGCCAAGCTATGCACACATTAGCAAAATACAATTAACACAAGCTGCTGACTCAATTTGTAGTGCTGAGCACAGCAGTATAAAAACAGGACCATTATAATAGTGCGAGAGTCTAAGAGAACT